GGCACATGTCGCGCCACTCATTTCGCCTCTCTCGTTTGCTTTCTCCCCTCGCCGTCTCGTCCATCTGCTGCCTCCCTCCCGCCCCATTGCTTGTTGTCATGTCCGTGCTATTGCCGGCCTTGTTTCGTTTGAGCGCTCGTTGTCGGCTAGCTTCCTCTTCATCCTTGTACCAGGAGATGATGAACCACTTAGCTCCCTGCAATACCCCCGTTTGCCACGGTACACCCCGCGCCACCTTCGCTGCTTCCGTCCAAGTTGTTTCCGGGACTCCGAAGACGCATGGCTCGGCGTCCGTAGATCCGTGCTTTGCCTCGATTATCTTATGGTCGTTCCTCAGGCAAATCTGCCAGTTTTGCTCCGGTTTCTGTAAATGCCAAAGGCATGACCATGAAGGAATGGAAGAGCAAAGGGCAGGAGTGGAAGACGGACTTATTTGCCCAACCGCAGAGTTGAGAAGGACTATGCATACTTGTCCAACACTGCATAAAAGTGACCCTACTGTTCACCTTCATTCATTCGAATCCGGTGCTGTCGTGTGTTGAACCCATTGCTCCTGCTCGGCACGCGATGCCGGACAAAAACAAACAGTATCACAGTCAAGACAGCAAAACTAATACTGCTATTATTCACCTGGTTTTATGCTTGTATCCCAAGGCCGGGGTGTATTCACCGCAGGGGTTGCATCTACCAAGCCGTTCCTCACAAGCACACTCAAACCATTTGCGTGCACTTGGTTCTAAGCTTGCTTCACGGACCACACAAAATACACAGAAGTAACACAACACCACCAACAATCACAAACCACCTTTTTAGCTACTACAGCATGTATGTATAGCCCGCAACGAACAAACAGTGCGAATTTTGTAGAATGGTTTCGTTCTTGTTTTCGATAGATCTACACGATGAATAAATACCCGGTTCAATCCCTCCAATCTTCGGTTTGTTCTTTCGGTGCTGCCCTCTCGTATTGTTCGCGAATTGGAGCTACCGTAGATCCTCGTATTGAGCGGACGCGCCAAAAATGGCCTGGTCCATCCTTCAGCTTGCTTTTCGCCTGGCACTCCTGTTCTCACGTGAGGAGACAAGCAGTTCTTTTTGCGGGACGATTACCCTCGCTCTCTGTGAACCGAGGCGAATGTCTGGACCGCGCGTCCCAAATACTGTTTCGGGGATTCGCCGAAGAGGTTGGAGTGTTGGTAGTTTTCATGTAAGCTTTTTCTTTTTTTTTTTCGTCCGTAGTCGCTTTTCGGCACTGCATGTTGAGAGAGAACAGCAGTATCGCGCCGTAAGTGGACTGAATTTTGTGGTATCTTGACGGTGAAAACAGCTGTGGGTCTATTTCTCTTCGCAAGGCAGCGGCCACTCACGCCCGCCACCTGCGGTGGATCAGTGCTAGCAATGTTCGTTGCGGCACTATCTCTGACCAATGCTATTTTTGGACGCCACATCGTGATCCATGAACTCGACAATACAACCGCCGTCGATCAGCCCACAAGCATGGCGGACTTGCGGGACAATGTAAAAGTTGCTCCGGCATCTGTCTCCCCCCCTGCGCGCCTACCGAGACGTTTGCTCTAGCTGAACCGTCATCAACTGCTGTGTCACTCGTCCGCGAGGAGGACAAGCCAATTTTTTCGTTAGAAACCGACAAGACGTCTTCGCCCTAAAACCACTGCCACTGCTGTCTGGTAGACGGAAGAAAAAACAAGTCGGCCTTACTGGCCTCGTGCAAGCACGCGAGGTGCGATAGGTTGACTGAGCGTGAGACTTCAAAAACTGGACCAGTCCCGTGATGTGTACCACACAGAGCGTAAACGCCACCAACTGCGAGGCCTGCCGCAGTGAAAAACCGTACATCATGACAGCCCATCGAAGACGTACATACCCGTTGAGGTCGCGAGCCGAGAAATGGGGCTGCTCGAGCACTATCGCTTTCTCCTTCGACAGCGCCCCCGTCCTTTCCCCCCCTCCCCCCTCCCCTTACTGCGCCCCCGGCCTTCCCGTCCTGATGATCCCTAGCAGCACGGCCGCCGCCACCACTACCGGCCCCGGTCATCTTGGTAGCCGACCAAGGCGGTCTCGGTATGGGTCTGGAAGGAGCGCCCGCTATCCCGGCTGCCATGGCACGACGGCAGTGCTTTTCCGTCCATCAGTCGCAAAGGCGTCGTAGTTGAGCATCTGTTATTTTTTTTTGGGAGGGGGAAGAAGAGAAGCAAGAGTGTGTCGCAACAGGCGCGGCAGTAGCGAAGCAAACGCACGCACAAAACCATTTTCTGCTGGTTGTTGTAACGTGGCACATGCTCTGCACACAAGAGACGCTAGATGGAGCAATGCACTGGTGTATCAGCCAGAAGTGTGTTACCAGGGGAGGCTGTCAGTCATCAACCCCCTCCAAAACACTTTTCGGGGCAATCTCAGTGGAATGGCCCACAACACAAAGTCATTCTTTATCACCGCAGGGGAAGTTAAAACGCACTCAGAGAATACACTTGAGGACATACTGTAGGACAGGGGTGTTCCAACATTACCCCCCCCAATGCGGGGGAAAAATAATAAGTGCCCAGGCTTGAGGCGGGTCTCTCACGTTTTGGAGCCTCATGCCGCCTAGACAAGTATAACGCGGCGTCGATCGTTCACACACCAGAGCAAGCAGCAACAAGCAACCGCGGCTTCGCCCACCCTGAATGACAGAAGTCGGTGGCAGGTGTCGTGTACATAGCTCGACGATGTCTCTCTTGAGGGAGGCCTGCATGTACGGGTCTACGGTGGTCAAGTCAAGGTTTCGTCGGCGCTGCTGTTGCCCATGAAGCCAAGGCTACCATCCACGTCGCCACCAACACCACCGCTCCCCTGCTGCAGGGAACGGTCGGGGGATGTCGAGGAGAACGGACCCCAGTCGGAGCCCCCCCCGTTCTCATCCTCGCCCTGCTGTGAAGGCGACGTCGTGCACACCATCGCGTTCGATTGTGACTTGCGTTCGAGGATTCTCGTGGCCCCTCTGCTGCTGCTGCTGCTGCCGCTGCTGCTGCCGCCGCCGCCGCCGCCGTTCCCGCCCACGACAACGTGTTCCTGGTTTACGGTCGTTCAGTCAGTGTCTTCGTAGATTGGGTCGACGCTGTGGCGAAACGGTCCAAAATGACCAGCTGGTCGACAGCAGTGCGCACAGGAAATTATTCGTTGACACGAGCGCGCGCGCGGGAGGGGGGTTACCCACGCCAATGTCGGGGCACATGCTCAAGTGGGGACGGGGGAGGACGGAGGGGATAGGCAAACAGTCGGTCCACGTGTAGACGCGATTGTATGGAACAAAGTAAGTAGGTCAACACACTCATCCAATCTACTGAAGAAGAAGACATACAACACACAGCCCAACCCAATTCCACCTGAGGGGTCGGACGAAGCACCCCGCCAGTCGAAATGACCGGGCTGGTGAACTGCAGGTCTGGGTCATCCAGGGCTGGTGTACTGCAGGTCTGGGCCACCCGGGAGAGTCGTCGTCCTCGTCGTCGTGATAACGCCAGAGCCGTCGCGGCTGCCGCCACTGCTGCTGCTCCTGTGGCCGCCACCGCCGCCCTGATAACCAACGACGCTGCCGCCCGCCGCGGTGGAAGAAAGATCTTCAGGTGCACTTCCCACCCCGCCCAACTTCCGGTGGAGCTGGTGTCGAATGGAGGTGAACATGTCGAGGAGGGCCAGAAAGCTTGGAGGCGCACTCGTCACTCTCATTCTGATAGAAGGCCAACATCCGCCCCAGCTCTTGCATGGGCGGGAGGCATCACCACTCACTGTGGTCGGGGTTACCCATGCGGAGGTGATAGCACGGTGTTGGGGAGAGGCGCGACATCCGCCGCTGTGTTTTGCACGAGAGAAAGCTCAACATTTGTGGTTGGTATGAAATTAATGTGTTACTCAGGTGCTCCATTTGAGTCCCTATCAAGAACAAGCAATACATCATTTTCGTTGTTGGCGCGAATTTTGTTGCGGATCAATTGAAGGAGGTCCTCGTTGGTGCGACGTTGTGCCTTGCTTGCTGCACGCTTTAGCGACAAAACAACCTGACGGATTAGCCCACGAAAGGACGCAAGAACATGTACGTTCCTTTTCATCCGCCATCCTCCCTTTCTTGGGACCAAACTTTGACGATACCTGAGACGTGACCGTAGCTACAGCAG